CTCAACTCATAAATCATGATGTAATATTCAGTTCTGAAAAGTTATTTCCAGAATAGGTATGTGCTGCAAGTGTGCAAAGTTCAAACTTCAAAGTTGTGTCATGTATTTTAGGGCATCTTAGGCAAATTTGCAATCTTGAAGTGGTAACATCTTGAAGCTTGACAAGTGAATCATGCAGTTTAATTAACAGTTAGGCCTACTGTCAGTCTGTCTACTGAGTTAGGAGCTGATACTCAGCCTGATAGGAAATTAGGTATTTAGTAGTCTTGAAGCCTCAAATGCCAACTGCCATCTGCCAAGCCCAAGCCTTGAAGGTAATTCACACCTCGGTCAGGAAGATGTGCCAGGTGCGTGGGAATTTATATTATCATTGCATCAATTTGCGCCATGCGCCGTAATATGCCGGTAAAAAAGTGCACTGTGAACCAGCCTGTACTGTGCTCCTAAAGCATAGTGGCAAAGCAGAGAGTTTTTTAGACTCTTTCTCAAGTTCATTTTTGAGTCCTATAAGTAGACCTGTAAAGTATCTTGGATACCAGAATTATCATACATAAGAAATCTGTTAAAATCTTCAGTAAATGAGGAAATTAAAATGAACTGATTCTAAAAAATCACTGGTTTGCCACTATGTCCTAAAGTTATTTAAAGGTGAATGCTCGGGCACGGCAATGCTATCTATCACACACCATAGTGGCAAAGCAGACTTAGCAGAGAGTTTTTTAGACTCTACCTCAAGTTCATTTTTGAGTCCTATAAGTAGACAAGTAAAGTATCCTGGATACCAGCATTATCATACATATAGTCAAATGGGGTAAGACAGGATCGCAGCCTTCATGGGGTAAGAAAGGACCGGCCCATGGCGTGCATTCTAACTGCACTGAATTTGATTTGATGAAAGAATATGTTAGAGCAATCATTGCCAGTCATTTCAGTGTTTGTTTCAACCCTGTTCTGCAAATAATGGATTTTGACCCGGGCTGTCCTCGGACCCGGGTTCTCCTCAACATCCCCCGCTAGTAGCAACAGAGACGCCGACCACACGTGGGGAGCCGCAGGCCGGCAGCACCAAAAAACATGGGCTTCGGGTCCCCCTTTCGGGGGACGGGGAGAGATTTGCTGTCGATTTGGGCCCGTATCCAGGCCGCGCTCCAACCGCAAGCAGGCCGACAGCATTTGGCATTTGGCCATGCTCTAGCAGCTTACAAGCCATGCCGGTGCTCTAGCCCTTTAAGCCCTGGTGTGACAAATTCGTCACACAGAAAATAAAAGCTTCTACCGAGAGTAATTACATGTTTGGAGTCTAGCCGCGAGTGTGACGGTAGCGTCACATGTTGTGAACTCGTTCAAACGACGTTCGATGGAGTAGCCGCGCCGCTACTGCCAGTACAACACAAAGACTGCGCGTGATCTGAAAAGTAATTCAGATTGTTTTTTCACTTTTGAAACATAATTCAGTGCGTAAAGGGCTAGTTACTCGTTAGCCTTCAGCTGGTCAATATTGCTGCCATATCTACTGCTCACTTTTATCAAACTACATAATTTTCCTTTCCTTTGCTATTTTTGAGGATTCATTATAATTATTCCCATATATTCTTAAGTTTGATTAGCGCGGTTTTGCTTAACACGGTAAAACTCGGGGATTTATTAACCGCGTTAATCAAGGGATTGCTGTATTACCATCAAACGATGTAATAAGGGACGGTTTAGAGCGTTTTTTGTTAATAACTTCTTACCATGAAATATTTCATAAACAAGTTTAGGCTCATTTTATAGCTTATTGCAAGGGCTAGCGAATGGCATCTTCAAAAAAATTCCATGCACTATTCATAAGGTGCCAGACGCAAAATAAAACTGTCCCAAATTACCCCTGGGAATGGGGTAATCCAGGACACTTGAAATAAAATAAAATTTTAAAATGTTTGAAGCATGCAGAGTGTACTTATCTATTACTAACAGTACTCTGAAGTCCTCATCTTTCATTGTAGATGATCTAGATGTAGAGTAACTAACATTTTCTGTGTTTTTTACTTGTTTATCCTTTATTGATATGATATCACCATACCTATTCATTCATTACTGTATTATTGATGTGATATTACCATATCCACAAATATACCATTGAGCATTTACAATGACCTTGTCCACTGCAAGCTTCATATTAGCAGCCATGTAGCATTTCTTCTGTATCTGTAAGCTTACAAGTTACAGGACAGCTTATATAATTTCAATTATATAACCATTTTAATTGAATTCACTATAAAAAAGATTGCAAAATACCCACCTGAAACAGAAAGGAATGTTTTAGAAACAACCATCATATGTTTTGGAGAAATAAAACATATTTTAGGTTAATTACTTTTCATTCTATGATGCCCAGTGCACAATTCTATGTATGACATTCTGTGCACAATATTGTGACCAATGATGCATTAATTTTTTTATAAGTGAAATTTTTTTCACTGAGTGAGGTAAATGTAATCAAAATTCTTTTTTGTTAATCAATATTTTTGTTACTGTAACTCAGCTAGCCAACTGTAAATGCATTTTGAGAGGTGTCCCTTATTACCCCTTTGCATGGAAATGGCTGCCATTTTTTTCTGGAAAGAGATAGACAAATTTTGTCAATCGCATTTTCAAGCCAACACCTGTGTGCAACTTTTATGAAAGTAAAATTTTTTAATATGATGAATATTTATTTTTTTTTGCTCTAGACCTTAGTAGAGGTACCTACTTTTCCAAAATTGCACTTTTCTCACTTTTTTTCAGCAATTTTTAGAGATAGTAAATGTATGATTTCTTAACTATGTGGCTTTATACATAACAGATAGTAAAAATGCTGAAGTTTACACCACTATTTTTAGTTTTGCAATATTTTGACAAGTTTAGCTGCTACTACATTTCTTTGAAATGTGGGACGCACATCCCAATTTACCCTCACCCATCCCTTATCACCCCGTTTGACAGTACCGTATTATTGATGTGATATTACCGTATCATGGTACATGCCATTGAGCATTTACAACAACTTTGTCCACTGCAAGCTTAATATCAGCAGCCAACAACTACCTACTTGTCTGTATCTGTAAGCTTACAGTATGGCTTGTAATTTTGCACCATTTTAATTGGGTCAAGTGAATTCACTACCGTCAACCGGGGCAACTCGGGACTGGCGGGGCTGAAAGAGGCGGACTTCAGAGTACTGTTAGTAATGGATGAGTATGCTCTGCATGCTTCAAGTGTTTTAAAATGAAGTTTCATTCCCAGTGTCCCGAGTAGCCCCGTCGAACGGGGCTACTCGGGACACTCTTTTTTTGCTTCTGGCACCTTACGAATAGCATATGGAATTTTTTTGAAGATGCCATTCGATAGCCCTCGCAAAGAGCTATAAAATGAGCCTAAACTTGTTTATGAAATGTTTCATCGTAAGAAGTTATTAACAAAAAACGCTCAAAACCGTCCCGAGTAGCCCCGGTTGACGGTATAACAAAAAAATATCGTAAAAACATACCTGAAACAGAAAGGAATATTGTAGTGACAACCATCATATTTTTTGGTGAAACAAATCAAAGTTTAGGTTCATTTATTTTCATTTTATGTTGCCCAGTGCATAATTCTATCTATGATATTCTGTGCTCAATTTTGTGATGACTAATGATGAATTAATTTTTTGTTAGCAAAATTTTTTGCTAACAATTTTTTTGCTTGCTTAGCAAAATTTTTTTGCTAAGCAAGGTAAATATAGTCAAAATATTTGTTAATTGATTTTTTTCATTAATTGGAGCCTTTGCTAATCATGGTTCTACTGTAAATGCATTTTTATGGGTGTCCCTTATTATCCCATCTACTCCATCTTGCAGAAATGGCCGCCATTTTTTAAAATAAGATACGCAAATTCTGTCAATCACGTTTTTAAGCCAACACCTGTGTGCAACTTTTATGTAAGTAAAATTTTTTAATACGGTTAATATATTTTTTTTTGCTACAGACCTTAGCAAAGGTGCTTGTCCAAAATCTCACTTTTCACCTTTTTTTCAGAGATTTTTTGGAGATAGTAAATGTTTGATTTCTTGACTAGCTTTATACATACAGCAATCCCTTGATTAGCACGGTTTTGAATACCGCGGTTTTGATTAACGCGGAAACAAATTTTGTGACCTACCCTTAATCTATGCGGTGCCAGTTTTGATTAGCGCGACTTTTTTTCACAACGCATCATTTTCCCGCCTCTAGCCAGAGGTGTTACGTTTGTAACAAAAGTGTTACTTTTTGCTTATTAGATCTAATGTTGTTACTTTTGTTACGACTTTTGGAAAAATTCGCCAAATGTTGTTACTTTATGAATTTCAGCCAATAATTATTTAAATAAGGTCCCGTTCTGTAGGCACTCGTGCTGACTACAGTCGGTTTAACCGCGCCTTGTCTCGTTCATAACTCGAATGGTCGAGTTCGGCAACGTTCGCCGGTAAGTGCGCCATGCCGGTGCTCTAGTTACTCGTTAGCCTTCAACTGGTCAAGATCGGTGCCATATCTACTGCTCATTTTTATCAAACTACATAATTTGCCTTGATAAATTACCGTCATAATTATGGACAAAAAGGGAAGAAATCTAAGGAGAGAAAGAAATCTAATACTACTGTGCAATTGAAATTGGATTCGTTTTTCAGTAAAAAATAAATGTTAATTCATTCGCATTTCTTTTATTTATTTCCCCTATTATTTAGAAAAAAATATGATGAATTTTAGTGGAAAAAAATTATTATGTAACTTTGCTGTTTTTGAGGATTCATTATAATTATTCCCATATATTCTTGAGTTTGATTAGCGCGGTTTTGCTTAACACGGTAAAACTCGGGGATTTATTAACCGCGTTAATCAAGGGATTGCTGTAATAGATAGTGAAAATGTTGAATTTTATGCCACTATTTTTAGTTTTGCAATATTTTGATTAGTTTAGCTGATACAACATTTCTACGAAATGTGGGACACGTGTCCCGATTTACCCTGCCTGTCTATTTTTACCCTGTTTTACGGTATGTGTGTCTCCTGCATAAACTGCCTTCTGTGCTCTGTCCACATTTTGTTATGCTACCTTGGCCTCTGCCTAAGAAAGAAGTCACACTTTTCTTAATAATATAGGTATATTAGTACTGGTGTTTATGAGTGCAGATTTCTAGGCATATGTAGTTTTTCAAGCATTTTTGCTTCTGATGGAAAGTAAGCATCTTGGCTCTTTTTTTATAAATTTTTTCTATCAATATAAAGAAGGAAAGTGCCATTTAAATTTTTTTCTCAACTTCTGAGAAGTTTATGTTAAATGAAAATCTTCAGTTTAAAGGAGCTGTGATGCCCTCAAGTTTTTGTTCCTATGCTGAACTAATTACGTGACCAGCAAGCTACTCAACATGAGAAGTTCAGATTGGTTTGCTTTCCTCTGCAAGATCTTCTTCTCCTGCTCACTTGCTGCTGCAAGCTGTCAGCAAGATTCTGAAGGTAAATTTGCTGAGTATGATCCTGTAGTAAGTTTAGTTTTTTTAGTTTAAGTCCTACAAAAATATCTAATTTTCCTTGTTTAGTTTGACCAACAAAATCCTTTTATTAAAGTCTATGTTATCACATTCAATAAATTGGGAAAACACTATGTAACTTCTTTGTGCAGATTATAAGTTTTCCTAATTACACGCCTGAACAGAAACAGATTAATTAAATAAATACCATATCCTCATAATGAAAAAAAATTCCTTCATGATTAGGTCATGGCAATAACAGCATAGAGGGATGGTTGCAATGAATTAGAATTATTTTTTAATTTGGAATCAAGAACATAAAGTTTGGTTCAAATTGATTGTCCTTTACTTGTTCTTGATTGCTGCATTATTATTGTATTTGCACTGTGATGAAGCATGCCTCACAAGGAATAATACAGTGGTGCCCAAACTCTGACGTCCAAAGAGGTTATGAGCCCGTTTTTTGGGGTCTTTGATTTGAGCTAAACTTTTGGCCAAGTCTCTAAGCTGTACAGAACTTGTCAGCTATGTCATTGGTTACTCATTGGTTTATATAAAAGCACAATTTTTTTTGCAAAGCAGAACCATCTACTCATAATGGGAGAGATGCTTGTCAAACTTGGCTTGATAAAGGTTGCTAATCTTAATCAGAACCATATTACACTTTGGATCAGCATTCAGCCAACACAGGCTGAGCATTGAATAGGTAGGTATGTGTCTCAACTAAAGCCTAGCAGCCATTGCAGTGATCAATGAATATATTTAAACTATTATGCAGCCTTAATTCCCGGACCTTCATTCTTCATGCTTTCCCATTAACTTGTTATTTGCCATGAAGTTCCTTCTTTAACCAGCCTCCTCTGTGAAAGTGTACTCTATATAACTCTCTGATGATCAAATCTGATGCTCAAAATGAGTCCTGAATCAGACTTGATGTGTCATGAAGCCTTGCATATTGAATTGCTCTTATAATTGATGATTCCATGAAAAATTATATTGAACCAATGATCATTGTTAAATAAAATATGTAAATGCTTGTGGGTCCATTAGGACTATGCTTGTGGTTCTTGGAATTTACTTTACATTAATGGTTATACTTCCTTGTCTGTACTAGAGGGAAAAAATTCCATGAAAACTAACATAATGAGAAAACACAATGCAAGAGTAATTGATCAAACAAGAATAACAGCTGCTAGGTTATGCTACAAGCAGCACAGCTGCCCCTGCACAGATTTAAATAAGCAAGTTTTAACGGTGCAAATGTGGCAACCATGACAGGTCCATTACCACGGAAAGGAGTCAAATAGTGGAAAAATTTGTGAACATCTGCAATAAAATAAACCTTTGGCATACCTAATGAGGCAAATCAGTTGCAGGAAAGTAGTTTTGTTATGAAAGAAAAAAGCCATATTTTTTTGGTGTTTTGCTTCTGATGCTCGTCTTTCATCAGAAACTTGAGCAGTTTATTAAACTGATCTTAAGAATAATTTATCATTGGTAAATGAACAAGACATTTAATTATATTTATTTGTAATTTTTTTGAAATAATACGTTTAATGATATTCCAGATCCCCAGAAACTTGAGCAGCTTATTGAACTGATCTTAAGAATTATTTATCATTGATAAAATGAACAAGGCATTTCATTATATTTATTTGTAATTTTTGAGAAATAATATGTTTAGTTATCTTCTGATATTCCAGATCCCTGCATTGAGCTAACAAGCACAAGTCCAGTGTCACTGGACACCACAATTTGGTTCACAGTAAAGGTTCGCAATTATGAACTTGCCGCTGGAGAAGAACTCTACTTTTATTTTGATGATGGTCTTTTCTTCCGTGAAAAAGTGAGTTCTACAATAAAGTAAGGCGTCTTTTCTAAAGACCTTATACTTATTCCAATTGATACTTCAATGGAACTATTAGTTTGATGTCAATTTTGTCCAAAGTTCCCATGTTCACTATCAATCTTAAATTACTTCTATACATTTTAATGTTCTAGATTTTGTTTGTTAATGTTTTAATGTTACATCAAGAGATATTATTTGCTGGGTCATGTAAAAATTAGTATTTTTTATTTTCTTGAGCATATTTTCTTTTGCTAATTTAGAATAATTCAAAATTTTATTTGTACATGTATGAATAATTGGTACCTAGGTATACTGGTATGATGAAAAGCCCTTTCTTTCATTAAAGAGTAAATCAGTTTTGCTTGAAACTCTTAAATACAAATGATTAAGTAACTTAAAAATATAATTAGAAGGTAGTTTTAAGCAAAAATTATATGAATGAAACATACAAAATTTTATACCTATGTATATATACTTGACTTCTATTAATATTTACAATTTATATATAATGCAGTGTAATGTCTTCATATATTGACTATTAGTGTGTGAAGGCAGGGAAAATGATGTTGCCTTTGCTTGTGATTAAAATTCTTTCTTGTTCTAAATGATGTTGCCTTTGCTTGTTATTAAAATTCTTGCTCTAAATTTTTTTGCCTTTGCTTGTTATTAAAATTCTTTCTTGTTGATGTTTAGTTTCAGGGCAGCACCCTGGAGCACACATTGAACATCACATACGACAAGTACACGTACAAGAGATACACGGGCCAAAGAACTGCCCAGGCTATTGTGTACAGGTCTTATGGCTTATGGTTCAAGCTGGACTCTGATGAGACAGAGTTCCATATAACAGGTGTGTTGCTAGTACTGTTCTTGATTTAAGTTATCCTCCATATATTTCATAACTGTATTTCAGAAACTGCTTAAATTGATAAAATTTTAATCTATTTGAAGTTATTTGACCATTAACTTGATTAGTACTGCTCTTGATTTAAGTTGTCTTCATATATTTCATAAATATTTCAGAAACTGCTCAAATTTATAAAATTTGTTAGTTCACTTGAAGTTATTTAACCATTAACTTTATGTTCATGGTTAATGAGTCTACTGTAGTTTTACATAATCTTAACTGATTCTAAATGAATGCAAGGCTTTAAAAAATGTTTATTTGAAGCATAAATGTTTCAGATGGCATTAATGGAGTAATTAACATCCAGCAAGCAAACATGACGATCAGTCCGCGGGCTCTTTTCATTGCGACGGGCAACAACACGAACCTGACAGCCGCGGTGCACGACCCACACGCCTACATGCGCAACCACACGCTCGACGTAGAGTTCTACTGGATGATCAATCAGGAAGTAGGTCTATCTTCATTTAGGGATGTTAGCTATTTATGGTCTAGATCTTTTTAGCGCATTTTCTCATTTATGAATAAAATGCACTATTGTGCTCGCCATGTCCGTCTGTCCGTCTGTCTTTCTGTCTGTCTGTCTGTCCGTGACTTCAAGTTTTCGTCGACGAGAAAATGCGCTCTCTGTCACTCACTGCAGTGAGTACTGAGTTATATTTTTATGCTATTGCTGAAGTGCCAGAGTGGCAGGAGACATTTCTGTATTATCCTATACTTAGCCGAGTGCTCTGATGTATTTCATTCTGTGCTTTTAATTTAACAAAAGAGATATGTTCACCATCAAGAAAATAGTTTGTTATGCATGCAAAACAATATTAACTAGTAAATTCTTCCACCACAATACAACTTTGTTCGCTCAGCCAACAAATGGTATGGAAAAAGGATAGGATTGCTATGAAAAATAGTATAGGTACAATAGGATATTAGTAGGACATACAGGATAGGATACTAAAGGATAGGAATAACAGACAAAAAGATCTAAACCATAACTAACTAACTAACATCCCTGAACCAACAAATGGTATGGACAAAGGATAGGATTGCTTTGAAAAATAGTTTAGGTACAATAGGATATTAGTAGGACATACAGGATAGGATACTAAAGGATAGGAATAACAGACAAAAAGATCTAAACCATAACTAACTAACTAACATCCCTGAACCAACAAATGGTATGGACAAAGGATAGGATTGCTTTGAAAAATAGTTTAGGTACAATAGGATATTAGTAGGGCATACAGGATAGGATCCAAAGGATAGGTATAACAGAAAAAAATATAACTCAGTACTCACTGCAGTGAGTGACAGAGAGTGCATTTTCTCGTCGACGAAAACTTGAGGTCACGGACGGACGGACAGACAGACAGACGGACATGGCAAGCACAATGGTGCATTTTTCCATAAATGAGAAAATGCGCCAAAAACAAGCGTGCTGAATACAGAGGCTGAAATCTCAGTTTGTAGAGATGAAAACAAAAAAACTGATACTTGAAAGCCATTACATCTCACCACATGAAATTGTTACTAACATGGCGTTTGTGGAGCATGTCTCTCATGTGCATTTCCCTGGGGGAGTTGTCATGTTAACATTTGTCTGAGTGCTTGTCTTGAGATGGACTTGATGCTTGTCTTGAGATGGACTTGATGCTTGTCTTGAGATGGACTTAGTATCTTTAGTGATGAGCTCTTCCTAGCTTTGAAAGTACCTACTTAATTTTGGGCAAAATATGCATGTTTACCATTATTGTGTAGATTTTTTGGTAGATAACTTGAACTTTTGCTCAAAATAATCGCCATTCCACACAGTCATCTGTCATGCCAGCCATATTCAAGAGCGGTACAAACGTCTGAAAAATAAGATATTCAAAATCTTCTTCTTTTCCTAGCATTAATTTTTAATCTGAAAATTGCAAGCAGTGGTGAAGAATATCCTTGGCTAGAATTGGCATTAGGTTCACCAGGGCTCGAAATTTTTAGCTGGTCTCCTAAACTTTTTCAATGAGGGAAACTTGTGTTTCCTTGAATTTTTAATTCATAGTCTTTCTCTTTATAAGTACCATAGAATATACAGTAGTGTGTTCTCAGTAGTTTTATATTGGAAGTAAAGGAACTTATATATACACTTTAAGCTGTAAATTTCAGTTTAAATTTCCTGCTGTGTTTGAATTATAAATTAATAAAATATACAGTAGTATATTTTAGTATACTACTGTAGTATACTAAGCTTGTCCCATGTAAATAAAATTCTTATTAAATTACATTTTGGATAATTTTCTATGGATTCCACCCTATAATCTTGATGTCATTTATTGCTGATATTTCTAATTGTCTAATTGCTGATTATTCCGATATTTCTAAATCTGCCTTGGAAGACATTGAATTCTTAAAGTTTTGTTAAAAACTATTTATTTGCATCCTTCTTCTTCTATATTCCTGCTGCATCATTCTGATGATTGTTGCTAAAATGTCCAGACAGTCGGGAGCTGTATGGTGCCCTCCATCATCACAAACTTCACCAAGCCTGGCAAGTATCTCATTGAAGTTAATGTGGTGGTAGAACTCGGCAATCGGATGGAACCTCTCATCGATCCCACAACCAGCACCACATCTACCACAACCACCACCACCTCAACCACCACAACGCCTGCACCGAAGCTCTTCGCCGCTCGCACCGTCAATGGGTCGCATAACTCAAGTGATTTACCTGCAGCAAAACTGGCCCAAATTAATGCAACTTCAGGCAACTTGCCTGCGAAGACGATCACTGCAAGTCCTCCCCCACCACCCCCAGGACCCAACCCTTCCCCTTCCCCTGCACCCAACCCTCCCCCAACACCCACACCTCCCCCAACACCCACTCCTCCCCCAGGACCCACTCCTCCCCCAACCCCCACACCTGACGGGTATCGCTGTGACGGGCTGTGGCCGGGACATGTTTCTTTAAGGTCGCAGCGCCGCAGTTTGCCGCCACTCGCCAACTCTTCGCCGCTCGCCAACGCCACAGTGGCGGGACTTGCCGCCAACGCCACACTGGCGCTCGCCAACGCCACAGTGGCGGGACTCGCGTCTCCCGCGGCGAACAGTTCGGGTGTGAGGGCGCTGTCTCTGCCCCGCCTGCAGGGCGTCTATGATGAGCAGCACGAGCAGAAATTTATCTTTGGAACTTTCAGCAGAACAATCATGGCTAAAGGTGAGAGTTGTGCATGGCATGCCTGTCTGCTACGGCCGTAAGGGTAATGATGGCTAAGATGGCATGTGTGTCTGCCTCATGCCTGCGGTCGTACGTGTAATGATGGCATGTGTGTCTGCCTCATGCCTGCGGTTGTAAGTGTAATGATGGCANCCGATTATAGTAGCACCCTAGTGCAGCTTACCTTGTCCCCAGACCCGATCCGACGCGTGAACGTGTCGGGGAACACATGGCTACGTCACGGCGAAATGGTGAACCTGACGGTGTCGTGCGATGGCTCCGGCTACTGGAACTACTGCTGGGAGTACCGCGACGGTGGCTACAACGTCACAGGTCTCGAGACCTGCGACGACCTCATCCCTCTGGAGCAAAGCTGCCACTTCCCCATCCGCTACTGGTTCCGCTCAGGGGACTCGTACACCTTCATCATCATCATCGACAACGGTGTGACGCATACCGTCACCCCCATCGCCATCAACATCTACATGCCACAGCCGCCGCGCCAGCTCTTCGGGGTGCTCATGCCTGTTGCCACGGGCTCCCTTGTGGTCGTGTTCTTCATCATCGCCATCGGGGTCTATATTAAGACCAGGCAGAGGTAAGACCAGGCAGAGGTGTGTTATATTAAGACCAGGCAGAGGTGTGTTATATTAAGACCAGACAGAGGTGTGTTATATTAAGACCAGGCAGAGGTGTGTTATATTAAGACCAGGCAAAGGTATGGACAACCAGTGTGCGATGTGTCGGTTATCTATCGCATTTGAGATATTAAACTTAATATGTGGAATGAGCTATACTGCTAGACGGTAAAGCTGTTGTTGCACATTCTGCTACTGCATCTGAACTCACGTTAACATTTGTCATTGAATCAATGGTCTTCCTGTTTCGCACGATGGAAAAATTTATTTCGTAAAAGACTTGAATTTATGCTGCGATCTGTTACTAAAATCTTAATTAATTTTTACCTTCATATTTACTATGACACTTCATGACGACTTCAGAGTGAAATGTCTATGAACAACACAAGTTTGTGGTTATTATTACATGTCTATGAACAGCAGAAGTTTGTGGTTATTAAACATTGAAATTTGAAATAACCCGATTCAATATTTAAATTTTAATAGTCTGTGTCAATGACAGAATTCTCAAATAAAGCGTAGAAAGCAAGGGAGGTCGCTATGGTAAATTATAGAAAACTTCGCTGTTTGATTGCTGCTTGATGCCCTCGTAACACTGGTGAAATTTGTCTGATCAAGGATAAATGTTTACCCGCTTGATGAAATTAATTTTCCTGCGTTAAAACAATTTTCTAAAATATTATTTGACCTACATTATCGCAAAGCAATGATGGTTTGGCTTATTTCAGCTACATGGTGGAAGTCGCTGACTTCGACTTCGTCGGCAGCTCAGGAGCTGACGTGCCTGAGGAGATAACTGCAGCGAGCTTGTGGGGACACATCAGGTGAGTGTCGGGGACACATCAGGTGAGTCTCGGGGACACATCAGGTGAGTGTCGGGGACACATCAGGTGAGTGTCGGGGACACATCAGGTGAGTCTCGGGGACACATCAGGTGAGTCTGGGGGACACATCAGGTGAGTCTCGGGGACACATCAGGTGAGTCTGGGGACACATCAGGTGAGTCTGGGGGACACATCAGGTGAGTCTCGGGGACACATCAGGTGAAGCCATTAATGCGCAGGTGCGTGTAGTTATGACATGAAGTAGTTTGTACGCTCTAGTGTAATAAATAAATATACCTGTGCATATTGCACTGTTCTTCTACATCTATTCATTATTTTTAACGTTTTTGTTTTTATAGCTTTGCCGTTTTTTCTTTGTTAGCTTCCAAACGCGAGGTGAAACACTAAAAACAACTCTGAATTTAGCGTAAAACTTGAATCATTTGATACATCGGTTCGGTCTTATGATAGCTTATTTTATAATGAAGGCTTCCCAGTCATACATATTCTTTCTAGCAATGACTTAGACTATCAAGTTCGTATTATTATATCACTGCATATTAAAGTATTCAACACTGCATTTACATTCCATGATCATTCCATGATAAGGATTGTAGACAGGCGGTGTTGACTTGATGGGTTACCTGTTGAGTAAGGGAAGGTGATGAGGGATGATAATGATGTCCTAATAAGGAATAATATAATAATAAGGAATAGCAATAATGATGTCCTAATAATAATAATAATTATGTGACGCGTTTATGCCCAGGTACGCGTACAAGCAGGCGCAGGAGGAGCGCGCCGCTGACGACGACCCTTACTGGCGCAGCAACAGGCGCTACATCGAGCGCCCCACCGTGCGTACTGGTGGATGAGTGGATGAGTGGTGCTGGTGGATGAGTGGATGAGTGGTGCTGGTGGATGATTAGTGGCTGTGTTGAAATGTGTTTCATTATACAGTTATTGTTGCAAAGTTTGACACCATTGATCCGTCTGCTAATGTGTTAACAATAAAAAGTAATAAATATCATCGTTAATATTGTCATTGCTCGGTTTATTTTGTTCAACTACATCTGTCACGTGAGTTTCATCTGTCATCTTTATTCTCTATTTGAATGTTCACAGTTCAATTATGGCCATCTTACGAATGTTAATGAGTGAGTTGTGATTTGTTAGATTAATAATCCATCCTTAGCCTCTCACTAGGCACAATTGTAGCATACTTGCGCATCCCCCTCATTCAGCCGTACGTATTCATGCCGAGCAGCGCAACGTCCCGGTGTCCAATAGTGACTTTAGAGTTTTAGCCTCCACAACCGGTGTTTCTGACCTACGAATTTTAGAATCATTATATATTTTTAAACAGAAACCTAGTTTAAATGCTGCATTCAGTTCCTATCCTCTACAAATTGTAAATAGATAGTACTTTCTCTACATGTCACCTCATTTTTATTTCTGTTATCTTCGATTTTAGTTCTAATGTTCTCAAGTTTAGGTGAATTGTTTGAATGTGAATTTTAGGTCACTAATTGCTTGTACCTGTGTTTTAGGTTTTGAACTGACGATGGAGCTGGACTCCGAAACGTTTTCTCTTATAAGAAATGGTGAAATTTTTGGCTATTTTCTTTGCTTTTAAATTCCTGTTGCATCCACTATTCGTTTATCCCAAATATCCATCATAAAATTTAGTGATTGTTTTATATATATATATATATATATCCAGCCTCTACCGACGTTTGCGTGTTGCAGATCCTGGATGAGGAAGAATGAGCGCCGTAGGACGCGACGCTGCCACTCCTGCAGGACCTCTGAGACCTCAGGACTTGTTGCTGCTCTCCCTCCTCCCCAGCACTCCCTTCTACTCTCCATCTCCGGCTCAGTTCTCCACTCTTCTGCTTAAATTATTCATCAATTGTTCATTGATCATTAGTATTTATTTTCTATGTTGCCACTTGACACGGCAGTCGCCTTGATATTTGTCGCGCCTTGCACGTTTCCGCGGCTGTTGTGAAGGTTAAGTAGAAATTAGTAGGCTAATTAGTGCTCTTTTCGGTTGTATATTCACTTATACCTTCGGTTCATATGATATAATTCTTTTATGGCTTGGTTGTTTTTACGTATATGTATAAAAATACTAATTTTCCAACAAATTTACATGCCAATTTATCTTGGTATTTCTTTGGGGGCCAAATTGTATTTTTTAGATCTTCATGAGAGGCCTGGGCTCATGAAGAGCGCATACTCGCGGCTCTACTGTTCTGCCTCAGTCAATACAACTGCGATTGTATAGAGGAGTCATGGCTACTCTTCATACAGACTTTTAGTAAATGGAATAATGGAATATTGAAGTGAACTGAGACTTCACCGGCAGGCCGAGGGTCTGAGGCCTTACCTCGCGTGGGGTTCAGTCAGGGAGATGGTCTAGTCTCGTTTGCGGTCTAGACTATTTCTACGTCTGTACAACGCTCTGAATGAGGTCATAATTAATTATTGTGAAACGAAAGATAAGCGATTAATATTGTTGATATTTTTGTTACTCATGAAGTAAGGTTATTAGTCCGAAGTTTGGTCATATTCTGTCGTCCTTATATACTAAAATTTAGGTCTTGGTTACATCAATTTGAAATAATTTTTGGATGTTAAGAATATTGCTACGTTATTTTTGGCATAAATCTTGACAACTTTTCTACATAAAATTTACAGGCAAATTTAAGTTTGTAATGCAATGTAAATAAAATGTCTGCAAGTTTATTCATATGCAGCACGGCCTTGAACGACCAATTCATGAATGTATCTTCGTGCTTCTACTGTAATGTTGTCATGGCTACCATGTACTTTTTCTATATCCTGTAAAGTAATCAAGACATAATTAATACTGTATCTAAAGTCGTTTGAATTATGTAAATCGAAATATATATATATATTATTATTTTTGTTTCATTGTTTGGTCATTGCACCAATTTCTATCGTTTAAAAGCTGAAGGTTATTCAAGCCTTCTGCTGGTGAGCTTGAGCGCCGAGCTGCTGCCGCTCTTGGCATCTTACCAAATTTTTTCAAGTACATATTTTTTGTGTGACTCTCGACTCGCTAGCGGCTCAGCCTAGGCCTATACTTTCAAAAAAAGTTAAGAGATCGTAAGTTCATCAGCCAATCATTGACGGCCTTTCAAGCAAAATCCACCAATCGTAGACAAGAAAATAGAGCGTAAGTACTTACGTTCACTTAGCGAGTTTTGAAAGCATGGCCCCAGGATCGCTTTTTATTGCTCGTCCTCAACATTTGCTCACGGCTCCTTCAGAAAAAGGGTGGTTTAGTCGTGTAGTTTTTAACCGCGCATCAACACTTGGAGAGTTTTGATTGCGAGATGAGGCCGTGTACTTCTATCCCTGAGAGATTATAGGTCTGATCTATCCCTGAGAGATTATAGGTCTGATCTATCCCTGAGAGATTATAGGTCTGATCTATCCCTGAGGGATTATAGGTCTGATCTATCCCTGAGAGATTATAGGTCTGATCTATCCCTGAGAGATTATAGGTCTGATCTATTCCTGAGAGATTATAGGTCTGATCTATCCCTAGCACGAATGTTCCAATGAATTTGAAAACGAGCCCACACAAATTTCCTTGTATGAACAATGCTGTTTAAATAACAATGTTCAAGCACGAACAATTCTTTGAACGACTAGAATTAAATTTTATGTTAATTTATAATTATTTGCACAAATCTTTAGGCCAACGTCTATGCGGTCCAAAAACTTTAGGCAAATATGTTGCCAATGAATTTTACCGCAGATTCAGCGAATCATGATGAGAAACTTGAACTCCCATAATCATAAGGAATGACATTGAAGCAACCGTTTGAGACAACATCCAAGCAACCTTGTGGAACAACATACAAGTTACCATATGGAGCAACATCCAAGCAACCATATGGGGCAACATCCAAGCAGCCATATGGAGCAACATCCAAGCAACCATATGGAGCAACATCCAAGCAACCATATGGAGCAACATCCAAGCAGCCATATGGAGCAACATCGGCAGCCATCGACGCGGCGCTCGAGACGGTCCCTCCCCCCACCTCGTGTGGCGGAGAGTCGATCTTGAGGGAAGTCCAGACGACCGCTGCCAGATAGCATATCCCCGCTGGATTCAGGAGGGACTTAATAATAATAATAATAGCGGTTTCAGCGTTAGTAGGCCGTAGGCCTGTCGCCGATTCTTAACATCGCAGAACATCCACAGCTTCTTGCGGTCTCGAACTCGCAGCTCACTGCTTCAATTTTGCTTTGCTTAACCGCCCGGCCTCCTTGCCGATTCTGACCGGAAACTGGCGCACAGAGCTGGGATCGAACCCGCGCCTCTCTGCTCCAATCCTGGTACTCTGAACTTTAACCACTGGGCCACCTTCTCCCCATCAGTCAACCCTAGCATTCGGTTGCTCATAGACAGAGCTGGGCAGCGCTACTTTGAAATGTAGTGGCGCTACCGCTACCGCTATACCCACTAGATTGTAGCGAGCGCTACCACTACCGCTACAGTAAAATGTAGCGCCGATACAATGGCCAAAATTATTGGAAATCTCAAATATTTATTGTTTTGCTATTGGGATTTACTCATAAACATTTAATGATAATAAAAAATTTTCAAAACATATCAATGCAACTTTATTGCAATTAACCTAACCGAACTAATACGGGTTAGATACAGTAAATAAAAGTTAGTTATTTTTATGTTTAACTTCCCTACATAGATGTGTACTTTAATCTATCAATCTAAAAAATTATCCACATATACATATACATATATAAAATCAGTCTTTTATTTGTATATATATGTGGATTATTTTTGAGATTGGTAGATTAATGTAGATATCCATGTAGGGAAGGTGAAATATAAAAATAACTGTGTAAAAATAACTGTAAGCAAACTGAAACTTGAAAAAATACCTGTAAGCGGTAACTGGTAACAACTTAACAAGTAACAACTAACATGTTCATACTAGTAACAGGCTGAGGTTGACAAAGTTACACCGAAATCTTTCGTACCGTTTTATTCTGTAATCTATATTATGTATGTATCATGCTGGTTTTTAAATGATATTCAGTACCTACTATTAAGTAAAATCTAAAGGCTTTATCTATAAATGTAGCGGTAGCGCTGTAGTGGCAAAACGTCGTATCGCTACTTAAATATGTAGCGGGCGCTACCGCTACCGCTACATTGCCTTAAATGTAGCGTCGCTACCGCTACCGCTACTGAAAATGTAGCGGCCGCTACATGTAGCGCTCTACTGCCCACTTCTGCTCATAGAGCAACGGGATGACATTATGGCGAGCAACCCAACCGACCCCCGGCTCCCAGATCTCAACCTGTAAATCTGCATCTCCTTACAGGCCCACGCCAGGAGCACCTGGCAAACACATCTTGCCTCTTGCAGTAGGCGTACCAACCAATCCAAACATTGGAATCTCCTCCTCTCCCTAGCCGGAAAGCGGAACCGCGCCCTCCCCCCAATCAGCCAATCCAATTTGGTCGGTTTTCCCTCTCCTCCCAACGCAAGATCTTCTCCGCCTTCTGCAAGCTTTTCACTTCGGTCGCTCCTCACTCTCAGAGCCCCTCCACCCGCCGCCTCATACGTCGAATCCGAGCCCAACATCCCCTCGACAGGGACTTCTCCCCTTTCACCACCGACATGGTGAAGCTTGCCATCGCAGCCGCCAATAACTCTTCCGCTCGAGGTCCTGATGGCCTCACGGTTCTTCACCTCAAGCATCTCGGCCCGCGTGGCCTCCAGTTCCTCACCCATATTTTCAACATCTTCGTCTCCACAGCCTCTATCCCATCCATTTACAAAAGTTATATAATTATTCCAATTCTCAAACCGGGCAAACCCGGAAACCAGGACTCCTCATACCGCCCCATCTCCCTCCTCTGCTCGGCTGCCAAGATTCTTGAGCGCCTGGTCCTACCATACATCTTGGGATCTCTCACCACCGTCCCCTCGCAACATGGTTTCAAGCCGGAACATTCCACTGTCACCGCCCTCCTCCCGCTCGCGCACCAGATCACGACGGGTTTTAACTCCCGGCGCCCTCCAGCCCGCACAATCGCCGCTGCAGTCGACCTCTCGAAGGCCTTCGACAGCGTCGACCACCCTCTCCTTCTGAGCATGATCGCGGCCTCGGACCTACATCATAACCTGGTCCGTTGGCTGTGCTGCTACCTTATAGGCAGGCTGACATCCTGCCTTTACCTCAGAACACAGTCGCCTTTTAGAGCTGTTCACTTCGGAGTGCCCCAGGGCTCGGTCATCTCCCCGGCCCTCTTTAACCACTTCATCTCCGACATCCCAGTTCCGAGCCCCAACATTGCCTCATATGCGGACGATCTTACCATCTTCGTGTCGTCCCCGAGGCTCGACGCTGCTGAGGCTGAGCTCGCTGTGCTCCTTCGGAACGTCTCTGATTGGTCAGCGGCCAAGAAACGGGAACGCAGCCGTGCACCACCAATTTTGTGCACCAATAAGCCCTGAATCGAACGCCCCTTAGGGGCGTCCAACCACATGGCAACATGTGCCCAACCACATGGCAACAACAACAACAACAACAATCGAACGCCATGGATCTCTCCGGATATCCACCAATCAGCCATGCACCACTCGACTTTGTCCTCCTCCGGCCTTGACCACCACCTGCCGTGCACCACCAGGCCGCGATTCAAATCCGACTTCCGGGCATCGTTAAATTACGTAATTTTACGTTCACCGCAGCTGAGGTTAGGTTTCAGATAGCATAGTACTGTTCCAAAATTTATCGTCCTTCGACAAGTGGCCGTTCGACCGATGGCTGGTTCGACCCACGGCCTAGATACGGACGGCCTGAAGTGTTGAAGGCAACGTTCCGGAAGGCAGGAATCATGATGGTCCATTATATCCAGGGCAGTTGTGGTCTTCGGCAGGCGACCCCCAAGAGACTGGGCGTGGCCCCTGGCAAATCCTCGGTCACGCTCTTCACACCAGACACCACCAATCTCGATCCCACCCTGCTGCCACTATCTGCAACGGCGTCATCCTCGTGGACAAAACCCCTAAAATCCTGGGCGTCACTTGGGATACGCACTTCACATTCTCCCCTCATGCAAGAGCCATCGCAACGAAAGCGACGGGTTCTCTTCGCATCCTAAAAGCCCTAGCTGGTATCAACTGGGGCTTCTCCAAGGAGGACATTATTGCCACCTACCGAGCCATCACGCGCCCAATCCTCAACCACGCGGCCCTCATCAGGTACCCTGTTGCCTCACGTACAGCAGTTGCCAGCCTGCAGATAATTCAAAACACTGCATTGAGACTAGCCACCGGCTGCCTCAAAATGGCCCCGATCTCCCACCTTCATCAGGAGACTGGCGTCCTCCCATTAGCCGCGCATCTGGACCTGGCTTGTGCCCAGTTCCTCGCCGGCGCCCTCTCATACCTCATTCCGTATCGTTTCTGCCCCCCCCCCGGGTGACCGCCCCATGAAAGCCTCCATCCAGTCGAGGTTTGGTCACCTGGCCACACCACTCTTGAATAATGGCATGATGCCTGTGGGTACCTACGGAGAGGCCAAGCGGTCCCTCCGTAGGGAGATCGCCTCCCGCGTTGCGGCGACTGACGCCATAAACGCCGTACTCGCAGCCCCGCCACCGCCGATCGCATCAGTGGAGACCTCACTCCCCGCCCCTACCGCTCAGCGCTATCCCAGCTCAGCTCGGGATACTGCAGTACATCCAAGCAACCATATGGAGCAACATCCAAGCTACCATATGGAGCCACATCCAAGAAACCATATGGAGCAACATCCAAGAAACCATATGGAGCAACATCCAAGTAACCAAATGGAGCAACATCCAAGCAACCATATGGAGCAACATCCAAGTAACCATATGGA